TTTACTGTTTCATTTTATAAGCATTTAAGCCAGATGCAAGCAAAATGAAAAAACGGGGTCATGACCTATAAGAATCAACCACACCACCTTTGACCCAGGGGTGACAGCTAACTCCTAGCTTTAATAATTGAAGACCTTTCTCTTTTCAACTTGGCTCAGACAGTAAATAGATATAATTACTTGAGAGGCAGAATGAAGAACACATTGCTGATTCTATCTTCTCTTACCCAAATGAGTCTGTAGCACTAGTTTCTTCTATATTGAATTCTGCTACGGGCACTCCTCTTCTGGCCACCTGGGGGGCAAACATGGCTGCCGGGTAAACAACAGATGAAGTTCCTACCTGGAAGTGTTTGGACTGAAATATTATACTACAGTGCCTTTTTATATAAAGGTTTTATTTCTACATACAAAGCATATTCATATAACATTGCAATAATTTAATATAGGTATGTCCAAAAAGTAATTATCATTACTTTTCTGAGACATAAAACTGTGAAATAAATACATGTACTAGTATATAAATAGAATACATAATAGAAATCAAAATTCTCAGCCACAGCAATTCCCTTTATGTCAAAAGACCAGTTCCTATGTTAAAAAAACTTCAACCACAAATTGTCTTTTTTTACATCATCACAATACCAGACTGCTCACTGTCAACAATTTCTTTCCAAATCTTAAAGATACATACTAAGTCAATTTTTTGTCACAAAAACCAACCAAATGCCAGCATATAGTTTCAAGTAGTATAACTAAGAGAATTACCAAAAGGCATTGTTTAATTTTACCCGAAAATGATGTTTGAACGGATTTTTCTGCTGGCATTCTAAGCTGTATGTCAATGGGGCAGGAAAGTAGGTCACGAATGTAGGTTAAATTTACAACCATAAATTTAAAGAAAGGAGCAGTCTAAAGGTCTTTTATGGCTGATCGAGTGATCTATTCAGTTTATCCCTTGGCATGTCGAATTTATTTGAGTCATATAAGAATCTAGTAGAAGTGATTTACATGTGTTACTGGGAATCCACGCTCGGTTCGTATGTACCTTTAAAGTAAACTTCACTGAACATCAGTGAATATAAGAGAGATGCAAAGGAACTAAATGAACAAAATGTAACTACCTTAAAAATTTTTTACAAGGAAATGTAGATGAATGTCTGGAATAGATATGTAACCTACCACTAAACACAGATCACAGCTATCAAGTTCCTCCTCTGCCCTCCTCATCACATTGGAGTCCAAACTTTCACCAAACCAAACAACATGTGGACGTAATAATCCACCACAATCAGGTTTTTTACACCTGAAAAAATGTGTTTTATTATTAGGAAGTCATTTTTGCAGAGGTTAGTTAAAGGTGTAATTACTAATTTGGTGCAAACTTGCTTGGACAAATTTTGGAATGGGAACAAGTCATGCAAAATATAAATAATGAAGACATGAGAGAGAGAATTGGGTTGGGAAGTAAAGAAAATTACTGATGACTTTCAGAAAAATATTATTTGACAGCATTTATTATGATTATTATTATTTGTATTTTAATCTATCAGTTTTGAAGTAAAGCACATGGGCCTTTAAAACTTTTGCCAATAGGTGGCAGCTGTATACCGAGGAAGCTGATCCACTGGGATCCTAGCATCTTCTGCCTCGGGATCAGGAGCCCTGAAATTGAAAGTTATGTGTATTGTCTTTGCCTTAAACTTTTAATCTACTGATCACTTGAACCAGTGGCATTTAATGTCTTGGCCAAGTGTTGTATTTACTGCTGTAAGTACAAATGCTTTACCTGTCATATCTAACAGACTTCAGAAAACGACTAGTCCCAATAAAAATTTGCTAGCCCAAAGATTTTATCAATAGACAATAGAAAATATACATCTAAAAATGGTAAAATGTCAAATAATCTGATCACACAGGTACAGTATAGTAATAATGGAGTTAATTTGTCTATGAACAAGACCATTTCACTTACTAACCCCTTCCCTGCCAAGGCAAAACATATGGGGCTATCCCTGTTATACTGAATATCTCCACACTGAGTACATCTGGTTTTGAATAAATTACCTGAAAACAAAATTAAAAACATCTCCATACTTAAAGAACTTATTTCATATTTCGCAACTGATTTGAAGTTATCCAAGAACAGTGAGTATGTGAATCAAAAAGGAACTTAATATATTTAGCAAAATCATCTAGATGCAAAATGGATGCATGATTAAAAGATGAAATTTTGAGAAAATGGAATAATAAACAACTGGTAAAAATTCCATTTGTCTGATAAGCGTCAACTTTGAAAATTGTATTAATTAATTAGTTTATTTATTTATTTATTTATTTATTTATTTATTTATTTATTTATTTATTTGCTCGTCCCAAACCATATCTACAGCATGCAGATAAAACATACAGTACCATGCAACTCAAGAATGTTCTTAGAGCCAGCTCTCTTGTGAAGTTCATCTATGTTCTGAGTGATAATGACAACTCTCCTGTTTTGTTTCTGTAATCTTTCCTCACACTCAGCTAGAGCCAGGTGAGCCTGAAACAAACAAGCAAATAAACAAACAAACAAACAACATTACTTAAAAGCTATAGAGCAGTCAAAGAGTAAGACATCCATCAAGGAAAATGTCAATCAAATGAAGTTTTTACAAGAAGACCCATATTTTGTTAAAATTGTTTTAAAAAATCATCTTCCCCTATGGAATAAGTCGATCCTGATAATTCCACCATAATTTGTAGAGAACTTTTTTTCATAGGCAAAGGGTTCTGTAACTTAACTTTTATTAATGTGTTTTAAAACACTAATGTCTTATATACATTCATAAGTTTCTTGGCTTAAAATAGAGTTTTGTTTCTATATTTTATTTGTGTAAGTTGAAACATGGCTTTTAAAATAAGCATATTTTTAGCAAGTCACTCACATGTGCTAAAACAGTATTAAAGTCATAATTTAAGGCACAAAACACCCTTCTGCAACATATAGAAACATATTGCAGTAACCACTACCATCAGGCCCATAGCCAGGGGGGTTCGGGGGGTTCGAAAGAACTGCCCCTTTTGCTGGGAAAGGTGGACTCTGGGTAAAACTTGATCTTGGTACATGAGATTTTTATGGGAAAATGTCCACTTTTTCAGAAAAAGAACCCCCCTTTTGAAATTGCTGGCTACGGGCCTGACCGTTAATAAGAACATAACAAGGATGTCACGCACAGTTTATGTATACACAGCATGAATAACAGAAATCAAAGCAAGGATCACTTCATGAGGAGGACTTCAGCAAAACAAAACCATTTTAACCTGAGGACCCCTGAAGTACATTTCACTGGCAAATTGCTTTAATCAAGAAATGGGGAGAAGGAATATATTTATTTTGCTTGATGTCTTTCTGATGATGTAAAATAGTCTTTCTTCTTATCTAAGTTACAACTGGTGTGAACAGGTCATATATACATATCACTACTCAGTGGGTGGTACTGTACAAGCAATTCCAATAAATTAATATCATCATTTACCTTGTTTGGCTCCTTAGAGGCCATGACCTCTCTTCTGTAATGATAGAACTCCCACACTAATGAAGGATTTTTGCGGAAAGCATTTGGAGAAGCAAGATCCTATGATTAAATAAACATATATTTAGTAAATAAATTGCATTTACCCAATTTTATCAACATTTTAACATACATGTAGGTAATCTGATGGATGTTAAATGAATAGGATCTTTATTTACAATATGTTAGAAAAAATCTTTAAATATTTTTAAAAAGCAAAAAAATAAATAAAATACCACAGTGTTTACTGCATTCACATTGTAAAATGAAACTATAGAAACATTTACATGAAAATATTTTTCCTTAAAACAATGCAATAAAAGTCTTTCTTTAACAAGTTATCAGTTTATTGACTTAGGATAAAATACTCTATTGAAGGGAAATGTCACACACCATGTTTTGGACATGTTTGTGAGGATTAAACTTAAAATTTCATTCCTTTCCGATTTTACCAGCATTCCACCAGACTTGGCATATACCTGTACTCATTACTTCAACAGAACTTTGTGCCACCAACTTATAATCAAAAACCATCTCTGAAGAAGAAAAACAGGTGGCATTACCTGTGCTTGCCATCTCCTCCAGAATCCACCTGCACCCCTGAAAGTGGGCACCCCACTCTCAGCACTTATTCCAGCTCCTGTCAACACAACGATGTGAGACGCCTTGTCAAAGTGTTTCCTGAACTCTGCCATGTCAGAGCTATAACGCTTAGAACCACTCTGGAATAAAAGTTAATATAATAGTAGCAATCAATGTCAAATTACCGGGAGTTTCAGAAATTACTGGGAAATCTGTGTTATCAGCATGGCTCTATACATGAATACATGCTGAGGCATGCTGATAATGATTAATCCACAGAAGCTGGTATTTAGGAATCTTCTAAATGTGGGGTGTATGTGTTAAGTATGTCCTCTTTCGTCGGCTATTTCTGAACTGCAGTCGCGTAGACTATGTGTGGTACTTGTGCAGTGCATGGGCCCCCATTCCCACTCCATTTACACAAATGTGAGTATTGTAAGTCGTTGATTTACAATGTTTTTCTTAAATCTGTTTTGTGGCGACTTCGATAAATGTCGCTGCATACAAAGGCCTATATTAGTTTTGGGGTGCATATTGGCAACCTGTTTACCACTTGTACTAGCTTACGATCTGCTAGGTTTTTTCTACTTCTATAACTGCACTTACATTAGGCCCTACTAGTACTTAGAACGTTAGCCTAGGCGGAAAGACTTGAGTCGAGACTCTTGACCGCCTCACGAGAGAGTTATTTTCAGTCTAACTTACCATTTGGTCCATATTTGCAACACTGCCACCGCCTAAAAAACCAAAAGATGCCCATATGCAACCTCGTATGCCGCTCTGGAAGCCTGTCACAACCTTACAGGATCGAAAAGACGAAAGTAACATGTCAAATTGCCTACATTTAGAAAGCACCTTTGCTAAATACGTCATCGAATGCTGTGTAAATATGGTCAAATTTCTCACGGGGAGAGCTGGAGGTGAAAAGGGAACGTTGCATTCATTCGAATTTTCTCGATTTTATCAAATTTCTTTCCACTCTTTTTTGCGATTTTTACTAAAACGTAGTTGTCAAAAAAGCTGATCGAACCCAGAAGTAGCAAAAATGGTCGATGGATTTCGTTGCTTGACGAGATGAACACTCACATTAGGGAAATGAAATGTTTTGAACAGGCCTAAATAAATGAATGAATGGATGAATGAACGAATGAATAAGGTGAGGTTCACATCGGACATTGAAGGAAAACCTATGATATTGTGATGAAATCCGTTTCATGGATATTTCGAAACAATAATTCGCCCTCTTTAAACCTTTGAAATAGAAGAAATGGATTTTTTGAATGAGCCTAAATGTTGTGAATAGGCCTAAATGAATTAGGCCTAATGAGGTGGAGTTCATACCAGATATCGAAGGAAAATTCATGGCATTGTGATAAATTCCGTTTCATGGATACTTCGAGACAATTAATTCACCAACAATGCCTTTGAGAAAGACTTTGTTTTCGAACTGAATCAGACGTTCATGCATGTAAACTGCAAAACCGAGTTTCCAGTGCAAACAATCCTACCTAACGATCCCAGGGTAACCAAATATCCAGAACAACACCAATTAGATCCTGGTCCGGCCATAAATATAGCCTACTGATACCAATCTCTAATTAACCATTTTAAGAACTGCTAATTTTGGACTATTTAAACTGAAAACACCCGTCTAAGGGGGTTAGACAAGGATACCGCATTGTTTTCAAACAAATTAAAAGATTAACAGTACATGTAATTGCACCATTCTTTTATTCTCCTTTTGCCTTTTTTTAATTCTCCACTGCACCCAGCCCGATAGGCCCACGCCACGGTTCCACAGTTTCGCCTAATATCACATATAATAACAATTAATACTAATATTTAATGATTAAATCCAAATGAATGTACATATAAAATACGTAACTGTTTTTCTAAAACTCTATTGATCTATTTCTTCACAAATTCGTCGTCTGCACTATTTGTATGACAATTACCTCAAAAATGTTAATGATAATCTGGTGTTTTGGAAATACAATGAGTGATGCTTAAATTTGTTAGAAATCTAGTTTTTAGATGATTGGCCTATGTTTTATGATTATTCATGTGACTATTACATTCTTGAATAATCTATCGACAATGCAGAACTTCCAGACAAAGGCCAGTATAAATGTCTGAGGCTATGAAAACTCTTCTTACTTCTTGACTGCATTTTTGTGAAGGGAAGCTTCATTTAATTAATTTTCTAAGAAAACAGTATAAAAATTCTCCTTAAATTTATTTTCATGAGTTAAGCACTCCTGTGTTTAAGTATTATTATCATTCAAACACGGTGAGATACATGTAAATTTTATTATCTTTAAGTGTAAAATACCAATAAAGACAATCCAATTCATGTCACTTTTAACAGCAGAAGTCGAAATACATGCTAACGTTAAAAATTAGTTATATCAGTACTACATGGTCCTTTTTATTTGACTCATCGTGGAGACATACCTCTCAGTTTCCACAATGTTTGTTGGGAAATGACACTTGTTCAAAGACAAAGGTATTTGAATTTAACACAATAATTGCCGAATGACCTCACAACAACGCCAACGCCGTTCACCACACGCGGAAGGTCGAGACGCTATAAAAACACGCGGTATCGCGTTCAAGCATTAAACACTTCTTGAGACATTCGAGACGAACACAGAAACAGAAACAAGACAGGTCACAGAAGCTGCTGATACAAAGCGGCTGGCACGGTTGAAGTACTTTCATTCGTTTTCAGTGAAGGAGACGCCTGTGATAGAATTATAAGCCTTTTCCCGGTTAAAGATGATTGGGCTTTGCAGTGTTGTAAGTACAGAGTTTCTACCCATGTGTCATCTACATGTAATTATATATTTTTGAGGTACTGGAGAGAGAAAGAGAGGCAGCTGGAGAGAGAGAGAGAGAGAGAGACTGTAAATTCTATAGCGTATAACCTAATATTAACGACAGGTAAATTATGCCTCGCTCCAGTAATAGGAGTAATATAGCCTCGGTGGATGATCTAACTCTTTATGGGGTCAAAACCAAAAGAAAGCCGAAGAATGAAAATGAGGTGTATAAAGATTCGTTTATAAGGTAGCACAGTACCATTTATAGTGGGATAACGATCAGAAATTTGCCTCATTATCACGGGTCTATACATACAGTTTGTTTGTTTTTCTGGTTATATGCCTATGTCAAGTTGATTCGGCAATAAACTATACTACTACTATACAGTATAAAGTTGCCCGTGTATAGGAATAAAAACAGAGAACCAAATGTTTTAAAATAGTTTAGAGTAGAACCACATGTCCTGTCAGGTCCAATAAACTAAATGCAATAAACAGACCGAAAAATAATAACGTAACACTTTTGCCAACCTGCTATAAATGGGCCCACGACCTCATTTAAGTCACACGGATGCTTATTTGATTAAAAGCACAACAACAAATCCAAAGAGATGTTGACCTCATTGTCATAAATTGTAGACTCAGAAATATTGGAAAATCGTTAAATCATATATGGGTTTAGTGTAAGCAGGAGTAGGAGTTACTTTTTAAATCATTTTAAGCTTTCCATGCGATGAATCATTTCCTCACCATCTCAAATTAGTGGTTTGAAAACGCCATACTTAAACCACACTGATCGCGCAGTGTACTTAATTAATTAATTACTTAATTGCAAACATAATATTTATCCATTTTCATTAAAAAAAGACATAACTTCTTGGATATCGTAACTGCCGTTAATGTCATAAACGTAAAATAATAATTGATTAGCTTGGTTTTACTTAAACAGCAAGCACATGTATGGAAATGTATTCATAATTGTATCTCGCGACAGGAGACAGGAAAAAAATGCACCAAATCTCTCTTCCGAAAGTCAAGGAACGTAAGTCAAATCACAGGGTTACCTGAGGTGTAAGAAAAAAAAAGACATGGCAAATTCTTTGTTTTCATATTAAATAGTGGTTTTGTAGGCACAGAAGAGGCCAAAACAAATAAAAGATATTTTAACCCCTGTGTATTTTCCAATGGTCTTTCACTGTGTTATGCCCGGAGTTGGCTGTGAAGATCCGGTACTTGATTAAATCCGGTGTCATCAATCTTACTGTCACCAAGTGGGTTCCCCTTTATTTAGCCTTATTTCCTGTGAAATAATGTTCGGGTATTAGTTCAAATTTTCTATCAAGACTAGGGTTTTCTTTAATAACGAATTGCGACACAGATATTAACTTTGTAGGATAAATTCAAGTACAACGTTCAATAAGAATTTTTTTGTTAGTTTGCTATTGAATTTCAACTAAGTCACAAGAACAATTTTGAACATTATATATATATATATATATATATATATATATATATATATATATATATAAAGAAAAATACAATCGGTAAGGTCTACTAGTTGGCGGTGGGCAGTGAAAAAGCACTTGACGACACAAACTTCCTTATCATTCCAAACCAGGGTCAAGATTGTTTAAGCATTCGGCTAACGCACTGAACGAACGCACGTCGAAGACGTGACGCATTCAGAGATAAAGAATTCGGACATGCAAACAAACAGCGCGTACTGGGCGTTAGTACTCGGTGGGTAATATTGTAATCATTGACCCTGTCCCCTACACTGGGCAAGACGTAGCCAAATAAGACTCCCACACCAAAACGTACAATTTAGTCATAAAACGAAATGGTGGTGGAGTTCATTAACAAGGGTTCGTAGACTTACCAACTCACACGCGATATAGTTTCTCTGTTTTGTTTAACTGAATCGCAAAATTAAATCAAACAATTTAGAACCACATGGGATCGCATAGCCTGGCAGGTCATAGCGAGAAAAGTAACGGCTATAATGGAAATTGTGCCACCAAAACATACAAAGCGCTCTGGTGGACGATGTGTTAAACATTTTATGAAAAAGAAAGACAAGTTAATACTGGGGCAAGTAATTGCTATAATGGAAATTGTGCCACCAAAACATACAAAGCTCTCTGGTGGACGATGTGTTAGACATTTTATGAAAAAGAAAGACAAGTTAATACCGGGACAAGTCCATTTCCATTTCAGCTAGGAGTGTATCACTGTAATCGAATACGAAAAACGTCAAAGCCAGTTTGTTTCCCAACAATCAGTTACAAGATGCGATAACGGTATTTAAGGATTTGAAGAATACGACAGAATGCGTTTTTTTTTTCTTAAAAGCCTTGTTGTGGAACGGATTTTGAACAGGAATTAAAAGATTAAAAAACAGCTTTATTTCAAACAATTCTAAGAAAAACCAATTTTTAAATTTATTATTTATTGTGTAACAAAAGATATTTGTAGATTTTAAATGGAGTAGAAGAGGAAAGCTTTTTAGGGGGAGGGGGTAGCTCAAGAGAGAGATAGGGGCTAGCAATATTTTAAGAAAAGTTGGAAACAGCTCAGTGTTTATTCTTTTTTAGTGGAGCTGGGTACAGGTGGGTAGAATGTGGACGACTACAAGAGAGTCGTCAAACAGTTTCAGCCATAAAGGTCAAATTGATTAAAGAATTAGACAAATATTTTGTGACACATATCCTGTCTTGAATCTGGTGTATACGTGTATAAGTATCAGAGGATAGCAGCATGTCTCTGTCGTGACATAGGTCATGTTTAGTGTTAAATCTAACACGTTTAAGATTAGTGTTTGTCATCGATAATGCCTTCCCCCCATGGAAATTAACTTGTGTGACTGACGAAAATGGGTGGCAAATGTAATTTTTTTTATTTCATTATTATTTTAAATACTTGGCATGTCCAAGCCCAATTTTTTGTGTTTACCAAAAAATTAAACTTATAGAGACACCATTTGTACATGTAGTTGGTCATTGTTTGATTAATGCGCGTCATCAACGCCCCTCATAGATAAAGTTTTAGAGATTCATGCCTGCGTTTGGCTTTTGTCAACTGAAGTGATAATAAGTCGGAAGGTGATAGAATCCCACTTCCTCGATTCGATTCCTCCTATGTTGTAATTACAACACCCAAAAACATAACTTCCTACAATAGTCAGCCTTAACTGTGTACAATTATGGAAGAATTGTAAATAATGATAAAAATCCTCCTCCTGTTATTATTATTATTATTAGAATGCTAAAGGAAATTCATTAGATTGGGTTTTAAAAATTTATCACTCTTTCATAACGAATATGTAAAATCCAACTTGTAATTGCAAGAATAAACATTATTATTATTATTATTATTATTATTATTATTATTATTATTATTATCAAATATTTCTATTTGATTTTTAGGTATTATGTCTGATCCTTAGTGACCCAATCACCGGTGCCCAACAGGAGAGTCGTCTATTGGGTCCTCAGGGGCGGATCCTCTTTCAGCCACCTCCAACTCTCCCAACCTTCTCCGTCGACGACAACGGCATCCCCATCGGACCCCAGAGCCTAATGCTAGCCGAACCGCCAAGTCCGATGCCTAGTTTTCTTCTCCTAAAGCCAGCGCACCCGCCAAGCCCCGCCCCGGTGGGGCCACCAGGGGTCCGTACCCAGGATCGCGGTCCCTCACCACCTGGGACTCAGCCAAGATTTGGGGGAGAAGATGATGATAACGCGACAACTCCCCAACCTAGACGAAGACACCATCATCGGCGTAGAGGGCACGGTGAACGGGGATCCCGGCATTTAAGCAGAGGTAGACACGGTTTGCGGTTCAGAGGACCCCCTGGTCACGCACGCGCCGGATCCACGGAGCATGCCCAAGCTGCACCCCCGGGGTACCGACAGTCTGGTCCTCCTGGTCTTACTCTGAAGGGACCAGCCGGATTCTACCGTAGCGCTGGGGCGCCCAGTGTCGCGGCAGGCCCACCGCGAGAGGGAGCCTCTGTAAGAAACCCTGCTCCGGCTAGTCTCACTGAATTGGAGTATCTGCAAAGGCTAGCTCTTCAGCCAGGTATGGGATGAAGTTGGGAACGGTTGCCTGTGTCTTGTTTTATAAAGGCTGTTACCATTTCCTTCTTCTTGAAAATTATTTCCCAACACAAATATTGGTAGATTTTTAAAATGCTTTATCTTGTCTATTACATTTTTATTTCCATTTAATCTTTTTTTACTGGATTTCTTTCTGCGAAAACGTTTCACGCCTTTTTCACCCATCAATTCTTTTCAATTACATAATTGTCTGCATTAATTAAGTAGCCCCCCTGATCCAGCCTATTTACAATAAATAAAGGTGACCTTTTTCGTACAGGAATGACCCTGGAAGACCTAAAGCCAAGAAGCAGGCCTGGGACTAATACACAACCACCTAGAAAGACAACAGTCGTTGCACCTAGGACACGCCCACCGAGACCGACACGTGCAACTGCACGTGCGACGACACGTGCTACTGCACGTGCGACGACACGTGCGACTACACGTGCTCCGCCGAGAACTACAACACGTCAGACCAGAGGTAGCTTTTACTGCTACATTTTTGAAAAAATACAAAAATCGAAATTTGTTTCTGTCGCGACTATCAAATCAAGGAAACCAACTGCGTTCGAATGACCAGTATGTGTGAGCAATGCACAGTAAAAGATTTGCAAGTTTTGTGGTACATTGCACGAGTGAATGCAACAATGATTTAATAATTTCCATACTCTAGATATCTGCTATAAGAAATGTGTGAGAAAGGAATTCCTAGAATGGTTATAAATGACATTTAACAATCATGTAGATTGAATAAGTGGCAAGCCAACAGCCTAAATGTCAGAGAACATTACACGCTTTTATAACGGTACACAAATATATTATTTTTATCTTTCAGTGGAATCATCCAACTGTCGCAACACCTATCCCGATAGCAAATGCGAGTCGTGGGCAAGAACAGATCAGTGTAGAGTCAATCCAAGTTTTATGCTTGAACACTGCAAGAAATCGTGCAAAGTGTGTACGGGTGGTGGCGGCGATGGGTCAAACAACGGCGGCAATACCGACCAAGGCAAAACCGACAAGGGTGACTGTGCCGAGAACAAGCACCCAAACGACCAAGAATGCGAATACTGGGCTCGAAGAGGAGAATGCGAGGCAAACCCGAGTTGGATGTTGCAAAACTGCCGTAAAGCCTGCAAACCAGAGGACTGTGGTAGTGACAAGGCGTGCGTGAACGATTATGGCGACGACGCTCAGTGTTCTCGCTGGGCAAATCGTGGAGAATGCGACAACAATCCTAACTGGATGTTGGAAAACTGCCACAAGGCNACTTTGGAAATTTTGCTTCCCTTTTATCTCCCAAACTGGCAGAGATAGGGCCAAAGTTACTTTTGAAGTTGAATAGGAAGTCATATACCGGCAATCTTACCGTGAAATTGACCTTTCACCTACCTTTTGATGAACTTTTGATATATTTTTTTGCATATTTTGAAAATTCTTGTTGATTGCATTTTTACAGCTTGTCAAGCATAAGACTGGTGGCTGTGTGCCTTATTTTGTGTATGTGGGGGTCTATACAAATGCGCTTGCTCCAGCTGGTGGTACAATATTTGGAGGCGGTATCGCCTCTCTGATCCTCTAGTTATCAAAACTGAACAAACTTTTGCAGATTAATGTGATTTCGGGGGGGAAGATGAAGGTCCTTGAATCAAGATGAAGACAAATGACTGAGACCGCATTCACATCGAGTTGAGCCATGGCTCTACAAAGCCACGAACTAAATATAGCAGACATACATGAAAGGAAAACAACCTAATCTTTTAATAGTCTCTCCGCCTCTCACACGCCTTATTAATATTATTATTATGATGATGATGATGATGCCAGAATTTCATTTGTTGACAACAGCTCAGCATTCTTTATGCTTAACTGATACAGAATATTGCCAGTGTCAGGTGGACTGTTGTGTTCAGTTGATAACTTAAAATATTGAAATTGTGCTGACACATTAGTGACTTGTAGATAGTAGGTCAAAAAAACAAGGGATCAGTAAGAAAACATTGACTTTTTTAGACAAAACTTATAGTAATATATCTTGTTAAGTAGGTAATTCCCTTTTTTTTTGTTTTGTTTTTTCCTCCTTTCTTTTTTGGAGATTTTAAACTCTTTCACCATCTGACTTGCCTAGTTGTTTCTTTAATATCTGTATATGAACCGTCTTTGATGTCTGGTTTAATCAAACATTCTTTATCCTGAATAAACGGAAAGATGTTTCTTTTTCAACTGTTTATTGTGTCTCTAAGTCACTGGATATATAAATTTGATACAATAAAAAAACTTTTAAATGCTTTAAATGGTTTTCATCAAGTAGACTCAGAATTCCTTAGAAAATGAAACACTTACATATCCAAATTTACCAATTTTCAAATTTAAATAGAGGAGATATGGATATTTTGGTGTAATGGTATGTATTTGACTAAGGGCAATTCTTTTCTTATTGATGATCTATAATAGCCATTGTGTCTGATGAATATTGAATCCACAATGTACCCGGTACGTTTGAGAGCAATAATAATTGTAAATAAACACAAATTGTTAAAATCAAATGTATGAATTATTAATTAGATTTTTCTTAAATTGATTGTCCAAAAATAGCTCAGTTATGACTCTGTATTAGTTTTCTTTTTCTGTCATCTGAACATATCATTTTGAGTTGTAGAAAGGATTTTTCATAATTGTTGTGATGACACCTGGCGTGGTCCTTTTAATACCAGTAAGTATTTCATAGACATCATTGTCAGTAATGATGGTGATATTCTCTGTGGTAAAAATGTCATCATCTTGAACAATGCTTTGTCCACTTTCAGTGCCACAAGTTTCTTGTATAATGTTGGTGCCATGAATTCCTGTGGTGTGGGTTATTCTGTGTGTTTTGCAGCTATGCCCTTGAACGAATTCTACCCCACAAAATGTGCATTTGTATGAGTTTTTACTAGTGTGAATTTTTTTATGTGTAATAGAGGCTGATTTTGTTATAATCTCTTCAGTGTGCATTCTAGCATGAATGTTGCAAGAAACTTGGCTGTTAAAGGTTTTGTCACAAAATCTGCATTTACATGGCTCCTCTCTTGTGTGAATCCTTTCATGATATGTGCAATGCCCTTGTTGTGTGAAAGTTTGGTCAAAGAAACTACACTGGAATAGTCTCTCTCTTGTGTGAATTCTCTCATGAATTATGCAAGAAAGTTTGCAGTTAAAAGCTTCGACACAGAATCTACACTTGTAAGGTTTCTCTCCTGTGTGAATGCTTTCATGGAAGCTGCGATAGACTTTGTGTGTAAAAGTTTTCTCGCAGTATCTACACTTGTGAAGTTTAACTCCAGTCTGCATTTTTGCATGAATGGTACAAGAACTTAGTTGTGATAGTCTTGTCACAGATATTATTTCCTGTTTGTTGTCCTTTTTCCTGACAATTTCTCAGCTGTATACTAGTTTCATAAACTTTGCTATGCCAGTGCAGTAAACTTGCTATGCATCATGCAGCCAGTCACGTGGAAAATCAGTAAGAATTATTTTGGCTTGAAAGCTCCTGTCCAATACTAAAATTCAGCAACACAATCTCTGATTACTGTTTATCCAGGCTTGGAGTCTGTTTGATCTTGTAATCAATAGACCCAGTTTTTATGCTACATGTAAGCAATATGTATATAGTTGTATTTGGCTACTGCTACATAAAATCTTGAATACAGATATTCTATTGAACAGTGTTAACTGTCAGTTACAGTGGACATATCTGATTGGTTGAAGTCATTTGTCTTCAATACTTCAGATGTCTTGTTTTAAAGATGTTATCTGCACTGCATATAATTGTCATCACTTCGCTAAGCATTGATTAAAAGCTAAGATCCAAATAATTATACTGGATCCCAGTTTTAACAGGTAACATGGCATTCCATCAATTTACACCAAGCCAGCTAGAAGACAAGAAGTGATTTTATCAGTCAGTTTGTATTTGTCACACATGCCAGGCTGGTTCTGATGTGATAAGCAATTTTGTAATTTGATAAGCAAATTGTTTATAGAAATGCCACAAAATGGAGCTTTGATGACATTTTCCTCAAAGAAGTCTACTTGTTCTGTACCAAATGACACTCTTTGAATATAGGGATGGAAGAGGAATTGAAAAAATTTATCAGGTGTGATTAACAAGGATATCTAACATTTTACAGTGAATAGTGAAATATGAATACTGATTTTTTTCAAATTAATCATTTGACATGCAGTTATTTTTTTGTAATAAAGATTGAGAAATAATATTATTCCAGTGATAGACTTAAAAACTTAATTTATTTTCTACACAAATCCCTGGTTGCGCTTTTTGCTGCTTTCATCTGTCTCTTCAAAATATAATGCTAAAAGTTAATTATGGATAAAGTTTGATGACATTTTCTAAAAACTAAGGAGAAACAAAATTAAAACAAAGATTTGGATTGTTATTCATTTTTTAATAATAAGATGATTAATGAAATGTTTGTTAGCGCAAGCAGCATATTATTCAACAATGTATATAGGGATTTTAATGTAATTCATCAGAAAGAGAGTTTGTGTATAGAAAAGATTGTACTTTATTTTTTTAAACTTTTCATACATGATGTGTTATTTATTAAATCAAAAGAAGTATTTTTTGTCTGATAAAATTCACACATGGGAAGCTTAAATGTATAAATATTTCAAAATTCTCACCTAACTTGTTTTAAGCAAGTTATAATCCCTTAGATCTTTATTACATGGAATTACTGGGTTTTACCCACCATGAGGGGTGGAGAAGTGGCTGAATTAAATAATCAGTTTATAAGTCATGTGATTGACAATTTGATTGATGAACTCTAGCATTCTGTAAACTTGAATCTTGATGGAGAGAGACTAAGGGTGCTTTCCCAGAGATTAAGATCGATCTAAAGATTAAGATTTAGATCGACCTAACTCCCTGGCGGTTCATACTAAATTGCAGTCAGCCAAGCAGCGCCATAGTTAATTACCCCCTTACAGCTTTTAGTAGGCGGGACAAATGCTTAAGCCGGCCAAGCTGACAGTAATCTAGGGAGACTCCCCACAGGGATAGATCGATCTAAAAATCTATGGAAATGGGGTGTAGGAGGAGAGAGGTCTGGTTTCAATGTTGGATTTGACCATACTTGTATCATGTGACTTTTAGTGTTTGTGTGTGTATGTGTGTGTGTGTGTGTGTGAAAGAGAGAGAGAGAACGAGAGAGCTAGAGAACTATAAACCTGTCCTACCTAGCTCTGCAAGCCAATAGAATATGGAAGTCAAGGCAAGGCAAGAAAAATTAGGCATTTTATTTGTCATTATTATGTTGGATAAGGTCAAAGAGTGGCTCTCAGAAAGTCCTTGGATTTCCATGGCCCTAAGGCTACCATGGTCCAAACATGTGCACACACACACACACACACACACACACCATTGCAACATTCTAACAGATACCTTAAGCTAGCTTTTTAAATTCTAAAAAATTAAAATATATTTCTTTTTCTTTTAATTTTTTAAATGAAAATTTATATATTTTCGGGTTATATTGTTTCATAAGTCCATGATAAAGAAGATATTCCCTGTGATTGGTCAGTGGTAGTCAAGATGGCTTCTGGAGTGTAACTGCTTTCCATCTGTATTTGAAAAATTCTTTGAAATTCAAGAAAAAGGGGGGGATAGGATGAAAGTGAGCTGTGATCAATAACAGAACAGAAAAAATAAAAGCTATTGGCGAATACAAAATTGCATAACGTCTCTTTAAGACAAATACTAGTAACTTCTCACTGTTAGCTAAACATTTTTCAAAAGCACTGTATAGAAGTGAGATCTTTCAGAAACATTTTGAATAAGTTATTCCATTTATTGATTGTGGCAGTTAATAATGATTAATTTTGTAAAAATGTATATTAAGTAAACTGTTGGATAATTTTCCCCAATTCATTACTTATTTGAATGAAAATAATGATTAATTTCAAAAATTGGTATAAAATCTGTAGGTATCATTATGTGGATTTAAAGAAAAGCTGTGTGGTGATCCTCTTTAGCACTGAGTTCAAAGATCTAGATGATGTCATCTTTGGATAGAAAGAAAAGCTGTGTGGTGATACTCTTTAGCACTGAGTTCCAAGACCTAGATGATATGTCATCATTGGAAAGGTGTTTATGCAGGTGAGTCATGAGTTTGTAAAAAAACAATAAGCATTGCCCTCTTTTGTATCACTTAAATTAGTTATGAATTCCTGCTTTAAAATGGCTACTTCATTGACAGACTTCAAGTTGTTTTCATAGTTAACGAAAAAGATCCAAATGACAGCTTAACTTCTGTGTA